GTCGCACTTTACAGCGGCAATGTAACAACGGTAAACGTTAGACAATAAACTTATTTAATTAAGCTCTCTCCTGTGTCTTATCTGTGTAAGATACAATTCATGGGCAGTTTTTGATCATTTCTAACATGCTTTGTTAGCGAGGTAGGTTTGGAAGGCTCCCTTTTTTATCTTTATTCTTTCTCTTTCTAAAAGATAATTCTGACCAGTTTTTAGAAGCTGTAATTAAAAAAAAAAAATCTCAAGATTCTTCCCCTTAAAATCAGAGTTTTTATGGTCAGCTGTAATCAACTTCTTCCCTTTGATTTCACATTTTGATCTCTTCTGTCTTCTCTCATGCTTAACTTGAAAGTGACTGTGTTGTTTGTGAAGGTAAGAAAATCCTAATCAAGTTTTCTCCATTTCTAAGCTAGGAAAGTCTTCCTTATTATGCATGCTCATCCAAATTGTTTTCCGTGGCAAGCCTTTGATATTAGCAGATGCTTATTACAACTCTTAGATCCCAACGTTTAAGCAGAAGTAGTCGCCTCTGTGCAGATACACTGAAGGTTTGTTTGACAAAAGATTTCCCTAGAAATTAGACTGAACCAAGGTGCTGCCTGGGTCCATGGATGTGTCTGAGGGATGCTGCAAGGCTGCACCATCTCAGGGTGTGTAGGTAAGCCCATCCCTTAAACAGAATCCCCTGGCTGGGTCCTACACCGTGCTGGTGTGCACCAGTGGATGTGTTTTTGTTGTTGGCATCATCATTATCCAACTCTGTATTTTCTTAGCTCAAACCAATTTTCTCTTTCTAGATACTTTGGTTAGGACTGGGAGATGGAAATATCACCTTCAGGTCTAAAGCATAGAAGGAAGTTCCTGAAACTGCAGTTTCAAACGCTGCAGCCAGAGCATGCACAGTGTCCCTGCTCCTACTGCAGAAAATTACGGCAGTTGTTTAAATGATGGTGCTTGGGCGTGGGGACAGGACAGAAGCATGCTCTTCCTGTCTTCCTCGTTTTGAACAGGTGGTGGTACAACACCAACTACAGTTACTCAAGCATCTTCCGTATGCTGAAACGTAAGCGCAATGAGGAATATAGTGAGAAACAAACCATTCTGAAAATTAAACAGCATTTTTATTATGATTATTCTGTTAAGGCTTAATAGACCGAGAAGTTAGAAGGAATGCTTTTTGTCAGCTACATAATTCCAGATAAAAATATCACAATGATTCCTACAAATACCTTTTTTTTTGCTCTACAAGTAAAACAAAGGACCTTTACTACAAGAAGAGTTGTACTTCTAAGCGATCTGAACTGGGCAGTTTTCAACTACATTTCTCATCGTCCAGTTTTAGAACTTCATAAAAGGAACCTGGAGCGGTTTTTCTGCTGCATGCTTCAGGGCCAATGCGTAAGTATAAACCCTAGCATCCACTGCAATGTGTTCTTCTGCTACGAGTTCTGGAGAAAAAAAAAAAAAGAAAAGTAAGAGATGCTGTTAAAACTTCGGTATGTTAAATTTAAGTCCTTTACTGAAAGGAAGACGTATGGCATTCCACATGAATACATAATGCTAACACCTAATGCTGTAGCTGTCACCTGGCCAAGTCTCTCAGAGCTTTTTGTTTAAGGTACAATATTCTAGGATGAGAAATGCCATGAGGAGCTGTGAGAAGAGAAGCTAATGGCTTCTTGAAGCTCACATTAGTGCATTGAATGTGTCAGAAAGCTCTTACCATCAATTCTTTGCAGTAAATCGTTCTTTGGAAGTGAAATAACTTCCACAAATTCTAGGAAAAAAGAAAAAAAAATTAAGCACTGTTAAATTAGTGAATAGTAGAGGAGGTTTACCTCAGTGTCCTGTTTCTTACAATTCAGAAGGGGAAACAAACTGGCTTAATGGTCATCGCCATCCAAAACCTGTGAGCCTTCATGGGTCAGAAAAAGGCCAACTAATGGGGAAAGGAAGTGACTGGGGTCATTAAGAAAAAAAAAAAAAAAAAAAGGTTTGGCAGAAAGAAACTGGGAAAGAGCTGGGAAAAACAGTGTAGCCAACAGCTACGGAGGATCAGAATCCTTCCAAAAGGCACCTTCTCCCTTCTGAGAATAGAAAATACACAGTCGATGTGGACTTTGGTTTGGTTTATACCTGTATGGTAATACAGGATTGCTGATGTGTTTGAAAACCAAAACAGCACAAAGACAAAGGGTTTGTTCTTGATGAATTTGTGTTGGTTTGCACCTCCCCGTCTGTCTCAATTAGTTGGCTTGATCTACAGTAACTTGTATTTCCTGGGATGCTGGTGCTATCGGTGCAATACTTGAAGATTATTGGGGTGAAAATGCCCCACAGGAATTTTCATGTCTAGGCCAAAGCCAATCTCACGCATGTTTGATTAGGGTCAGGAGATTAACCAAGCCAAATTAAAAACAGTTTTAACTGACATTTTCTAAGTAAAACTTGCCATACAAATATCACACTTGACCTTACTGTCACTGTGAGCACAGCTACATAACGTACCTCCATCATCTGCAAGTAAAAAAAAAAAAAAAAAAGTAGTAAATTAAGAATTTCAAGATACACTTGAGTTTACAACTAAAAAGCATTTTCATAGCTGACTGATCATGAGTGACACTGTCATTACATCCAGGGCCAAGCCACAACTAAGAGGAATATCGAGGTTCACAAGTGCTTATGGCCCTCACTGAAGTCTGGCACCTACACTTCTTATTCTGGGTGTGCCAACACCTGACACTTTAACATCTAGGCCTCTCCAGTGAATTTAGCAAAGAAACACAGCTCTGCTTATCTAGACTGCAGGACATGATTTGAAGGATGTACAGCATCTAAATCAGCTGGGACAGAAGAGATGCAGGGGTAGGGGTAGTTCTTTTAAACACATTGTTCTGTTATCTTCTCAGAATTTTCAATAAATGGTACAAAACTCACCAAGTTTTTGCTTAGGTCTTGTATTTGCAGGGTCATCTCCGTTAATGGTGACACTCACAATGTGTGTTGTGCTGTTTGACACACCTGGGTCCAAGCAGAGAGCTGCCAACAAGCACATGTGGAGGTTAATTTTGCAACAGCAGAAGTCAGGGACCTCGATATTTTAAAAAAAGCTTTCACAGAAATGTATCTGATACAATAAGATAACATATATTTGGCATATGTTCATGCTGGAAGAGTTGTGAAAAGTTTGTTTTCACATGTTTTTTAAAGCAGTGTTTTTGTAACTCTCAGCTTTTACAGATTCCTTATAAGACTTGTTTTCAGCAACTAGGTTTACCTTCCATTCCATAGACTGAAGATAAAACTGTAAACTACAAATCCCTTACACACATCCTCAGCCTATTAGAGTCTAATTTTGCCACCACCTGCCTCCATCTCTCTCAGTCCCCAGCATGCAGTTGAACCCGATCATCAAGAGCCAAGTCTCAACTGTAATGACATTTACTTGAAATCATATGTAAGTTGCCTCACCTTTCTACCTACCTTCTCAAGTTTTATTTATGATCCTCGTTTTCCCTCCATTTTGTTTTAGGTAGGAAGCATTGGATTGGCAACAATCACGTTCCAAAGGATCTCTGGATTTACTCCAATTATTCTCTCCTTTCTTCTTGCCGGTTGGAGAACCTGAGTACTGTCACCTCCCCACAGCTGACATGAGGGTGAGCTCCACTCTGACTGCATCATGCAGCTATTTTTTCTACCTAAGTTCATGGATGTTGTTCACATTAAGTCCAGCCATTTAGACCTTTATACTAAAATGCCAAATCACAGCTTGAATAATTGGGCTTTGTGTAAAGGATCTTAATTAACAGCAAAGTTTTCCCCTATAGACATCAAACTCTTACTTTAGTCCTGTATGTTCAACAAGAGTTCAGCAACTGACTCGTCAAGTCTCATTGGTACACGGGATGCTACTCTCCGCTAATCTGCAAAGACTTTTCTGCATAGATTTTTCCTTTGGTTTAGAGCATTTTGTATCCATAAGACACAGAATTAGCTTTGGATTGGGAATAAAAAAAAAAAAAAGCAGCAAAGACCTGGAGTACATTCAACGACTTCCCCCTTGTACCCAGTTTCTTCCTCCAACTCTCGCAACGCGGCTCTTTCTGCAGTCTCATTTTCCTCAATGAGCCCTGGGGGATAAATAATAGACGAGCAATTAAGAAGTTAGCATTTAACCACACTACCCACCCCAAGATCTAATCCAGCTTTACGGAAGAGGTGAAACATCCTCACTACCCTGTTTTTACTGAGGTGCTAGGAAGGATTCCAGTTCCAGGATTCCTCATGCCGCTACCCATGTCTTCAGCTGATGGATTATCTCCAGAAGCACGCTGCCTTCCCAGGGAGTGGCATTAACATTCTCATAAGGGAAAGAAGCCAAATGCTTTGGATCTTACAGAAAGGAGGAGTGGAGGGAAATGTAATCTGCTACCAGACTACTGCGGAAAATGCCTCCAATCTGCTAAAATTAACTCTGCTTATTTTGTATTCTTCATTATATATTATTTTTGAATAGCCCACTGAGCTACAGAGACAACCACAGTTTTCCAGTCAGAGCTACTTCATGAAGGCTGACACTCCAAGCACATTTAAACTCACCTCACTCATTAAAATGTGACTCAATGTTTCAGTCACTTACCTGCAGGAAATTCCAAGCAATAGCCATTAATTGGAGGCCTGAACTGTTTCACTAGGACGATGCAGTCGTAGTGGAGAGTTCTCTGTAGTACCGCTAATACTGCTACACCTACAAGCAGTGACGGAAGACATGAGTACACAATATTTCGGTATAGCAGAAAGCGAGTACTTAGTGCTAGGTCTGGAAAGGAACCCAAGGACAGTTACTTTAAGCACTAAAAATGTTTAGATGCCTGCTCCAGAATCCTGAACTATGAATTTAAGCTCTTTAGATCATGCGCAGTGAGAGATAAAAGCTCAAACCTGGATCTTCAAAGTACCCCAGCAAGAGGGAGGCACACGTACCAAGCAAAACCAAGCCTTAGCCTGCCAGTATCTAGGGAAGGGCTCTCTCACCTGCAGAGAGCATTTGGAACCCCCTCCTACACTACTTTCACAGCTAAATCACGTCCTTCTTTTGCCCCAAAAGAATTGCATCCCTAGCCCCCAACAGCAGACCCAATTTACCAGCCTGTGAGCTACTCTGCATCAGGGTATCCATCATGTCTTTGAAATCACTCCATTATTCTAAAGTGGATACAGTGAACTTGGGAAAACACTCCTCCCAATAAGGTTCTGATTCTTCAGCGCGGAGGTTAGCACCTCCTCAGCACGGGCTTGCTCTGAGGTATAGCAAGCTCTGCTGAGCTATTTGTGCCAAATCCTCATTCATTCAGAAATAGATCGGCTCTAAGGCTGCACTGTGAGTCTATCAGAAGAACTTTCACAGGAAAAAATGCAAACAAAAAAAGTCACTGAGGTCTTACCATCAGCTGAAACACCCTTTTTGTTGCCAGTGCGTTTTACAGTTTCCCAAATTCTGTTTAACACAGAGAAAAGAACAAATGAATACATTAAAAGGAACAATATCAATTTTATTTGTAAGTCTTCTTCTACCCTTGCTACTTTCATTTCAAAGCAAAATATAACATCACACAGTGAGGCCCCATAGGAAAACAGCTGGCCTTAGGCAAGCTCTGTCATGTACTGGCACTATAAAATGTCTGTGGTATACTTTTGTTTCACCTACTTAAAGGAGGGAGAGAGAAAATGGTTAACTAATGATTGCTTAAGATCACTAAAAGTAAGAGAAAGACATAAATGATTGTCACAGAACAGGCAAGTCTTATAAAAGTGATCCTGGGAAAGTGCAAAATAAAACAATTTATATATAAAACATGTCAGATTTTGAAGGACAGTTCAAAGATCATGTGTATTTCTTTTTTACCTTGCTTTTGTGTAAGGTTTATAGTGTAATTTATTGTGAACTCTTAGCTCAGGTACTTGAGCGCACAAGGAGCACAGAGGCAAAGAATACCAAAGCTTCTCTCTCAAAATAAGCAGCGGGGTGAGTAAAAACCAAAAATCTACCAGCAATAAAATCACAAAAGCTCCAATCTTTGCCATTTTTTAAAAGGGTACTTTGCTGATGAACTGGGAGGCACTAGAAAAAGCAATCAGTACAGAATCTAATACATGAAGGGGAGGGAAGTAAAGCTGTGTTGTCACATCCAGATAAATACAGCAAAATTAAAGAATACAAAAGAATTGGACAGGTGTAATAATATACAAGACGACAGTAACTTGTCAATAGTATGCAAGATTCAGCACCACCAGCAGGAAAAAAGGAGTCCTAATGAAGAACCAGAAAAGCCACAGAGCAGACTCTGATCATCAGTCTAGTTGCATAGCCAGAACTTGCTTCTGCACAGCAGCTTCACAAGGCATGGGAAATGCAAGGTAAACCAGGGTCCAACGTGACAAAAAATAATTTAGGAGCCAAATTTGTTCCCACATGCTAGCACATCTGCAAGAATAAGATTTTTTTTTTTCTCTGAACACTACAAACTACAAAGGAATTGCACAATAAATAGACCTCATCTTGTGTTGAGTAATAGGTTTGTAATGCTCATATTCCCTAGCCTGGTGCTAGTCCGTACAATTGGGAATGTCATAGGAATCTGAAATGCCAGAGAGGCAGTTACCTGTGTTTACCAAAGGGATCCGTATAAGTTGTTTGTTCAAGCTTCAACCATTTTCCTTCTACAATTGTCTAAAAGAAAGAAATATTTGTTAAATACATTATAAGATTAATCCTAAAGATATTTGGGATAAGGAGAGAAAAAACACAACTTTTTCTGGTTTCTTTTGAATACAAAATCTCAGCATCAGAATACGTGCAGGAACATGCAACAACGCTCCTGTAGCTATTATGGAAAAAAATATTTACTCCAAGTTCTTGAATAGGAATAGAAAATAAGCCCAGTAATTTTTCTTAACATGACTTTTATAACCATGTTTCAATAAATTCAGTGGGATTTAATGTACTGGAAAGTCCCCATCCTTTTAGAAGGGTTTTGCAAAGGTGACATTTCAGCTGAAAAAGGGTCGCTGCTCTGCACAGACTTCGGCTACGCTGGTGATTACGAGTGCGCGCATATCAGAGAGCATGGCTGTTAACAGCTAAGCGTGCAAGACTGAAATCCAAACTATTTTGAAATTTTTCTTGCCATGATCTCAGACTGTGCCCTTGAGTAACTGCCATTTTCTGTAACTGTGAGCGGTGACACATACCTGCCCTTTTAGGATTCCTGAGAGCTGACGATTGAGTGCTTGGCATTAACATTATTACAAAATGTCTTTTCTGAGCTAAAAGAGTTTATTTGCCCTGTGATGTTTCCTCACCTTTTACATGATTCCTTTAAAAGGGAAAAATCCCTAGGTATTAGCTCAGCACTTTACTTCTAATGTAACTTGTATTTTAAGCTTTGCTAAAGGTACAGGCAGACAAGAAGCTTTTCTCCAGAATTTTGTATCAAGTTGGCCATAGGTCTTACATAAATCAGAAGAAATCAGTAAGGTGAACAAATCACTTCCTATTCTCTAATGAGAAACACTGCTGACAGCAATGGAGCAAGCACAAGCAAGGGAAAAAGAGGATCTGGGCAAAACCCCACAACATTAAATTGCAGCAAAGGATGAAGCCCGAGAGACCATTCATGTGGCTGGCAGACTCCAGCCCTCTAGTGCAGGACAAGCACCAAATAGGGCCTGTGTGGCTGTGTAGGTCTCGAACTTAAAACGGAGAGATTCACCACCTAAAACTACAATACAGTGAAATGAAATGTCGTATATGATGGAGCTGTAACTAGAGCACAGAAGCACAGTACAGCATCAGCTGGAGGCAGAAGGGAAATCAGAAGTGATTCAGGTGTCCACTAAATTGTAACTGAGCCAGATGAACTCATGTAATTCTTAAAATCTGTTCTTCAGACAATTATTCTGATAGGCAATTGGAATAACAATAGCACTCCTGTGGTTGTATATGTGGCTACACGTATTTTACATGTAGGAGTTTTGGCATTTATTTTGGAAAGCATCATATTTCCACTTAGCAGGAACTGGAAAAGGAGAGCTCTGTGTTCCCAAAAGGGCTTTCTAATGGCTTTGTGGTCACAAAAACAGCAGGAAAAGAGAAGATGAAGTATATTATGCTCATTACAGGTACAAGAAGTAATTCTGTTCAGAAGCATTCAGGTCTATTTTAAATAGCTCTGTATTCATGCCTAAATCACTGCAGAACTACACTAGAGGAAAATCCACAAGAGAAATGGATGAAAATCATGTTCCATTCGTTGTCCAAGGAGAGGAATAGATATACCTCAGTTAAGTAAACATAGCCAAATGTTTTGTGTTAATTAATTTTTTTTTGAACATTGCATAGAACACAAAGGACTAGATTATTGATCAGGGTCCCATATTGCTGCAGCACTCAACAGAACTGGCAGATTACTACCCTGTCACCAAGTTATTGTTTGCTAAGCAGAAAGGGGAGAATGTCTGAAATCACAACCACATCACTGTTCCCAGGAATCTTAGAGGAAAAAGAAATCCCTAGTTGGTAAGAAATTAGACCTATCCAAGCTCCAAAAAGACAAAATTAAAAAAAAAAAAAAAAAGAAAAAGTAGGTTTTATGCATCCAAAACAAACAATGTCAAAGTGTCTTTTTTTTAATCGGGTATTGTTAAGTACAGCTTTTGGCTTCTACTGTCATGGAGCAATAATTTAAAAAATACTCTAGGACATGTAGGATAAATATTCACAATTGAAGTGTTCCACAAGGCTCTAAAGTTAGGTGAAACTCTTGATGCTAATGGCCTACAGGGTGAGAAAATGGAAAGCTGCCAGGTTTCCCTAGAAGACAGAATTTTATTGTCATCCATGTCATCAGCTGCACAGTTAAAACCTGTGGAAGCTGGCCAAGAAGCATAACTTCTGCTTTGCTAAATCCCCTATTTAGGGCCTAAGGACACTTTCAAGGGTGTGTGTACTCACCACACTCAATTTTAGAATGAATTATTCTTATTGCTTTATCTGTTACTTTGATGGACACATAACATCTGCTTTTGCTTCCAACAGCCTGATTGTGGGTTCCCAGAAACAGTAAGAAGGAAATAAGATTAGCCACTACTTTAATCAAAGAAGATCTTCCACCACCAGACCACACAGTTACTGAAGAGTTACAGAATCATTTTCAATATAGGGGTTACTGGCAGAGGCACGGTAAATAATCTCCTGTATTAATCCCACAAAATGACTGAAAAAGCTAAATGGCTTACAATACGTAAAATCCAATTACAAACTTCAAATTACACCAAAGAGTAAAATATTCCAAATGAGAATAAGAAAGAGGGCTTATAAAAAAAAAAAAAAAAAAAGGATAAATTGAAAACGTTGCCTGCAAAAAACACAGGTCTTAATAGAAAACCCAAAAAGCTTACAAAAATGAAACCCTTTATGCTTGAGAAATATTCACACTAAAACACCACCCAAGGGGAAATGCCATAAATATACTCCAGCAATGTGAGTCTCTTCTTCCCTGAAAAAGTTTTGGACCTTGAAACCTAAAGAAATTACAACACCCTGTTCATTCCAAGGAAGGAACACTGGATGAAAGAATCTACATCTGTGTTACAACAAGAGCATGACACTGTTGCCAAACCTGCCTTTAACACCAAAGATGAGCTTTTAAACAATTCACTTAAAAGAGAACAGAAACAAATATAGGCAGTTTAAGTTAGGGTGAGAGCACCCAGAAGTATCTCCAAATTCCTTCCTCAGGACCTGGTATTTTCTTATTCTGTGAAGCTACAAGCACAGTATTTTTGGAAAAAATATCTTACTACCTCCTTACTAATGTCTTTAGAACAGCAGTTATCTAAATTCAAACCCTTTTAGAAAGCATTAAAGAAGGTACAATCCTAAATTTTACGGCAACCTGTAGTGGTTCATCCTAAAGGAACATAAAACAAGGCTGAGTTTCACAATCCACCAAGATCTGCAGTCTCTCAGAGGTATTGGCATTATTTCTGAACATTGAAAACAGCCTGAACAGACAAATCCAAAAAAAAGCAGCAGCTTAAAATAATGCATCACTGTAGATTTCTCTCTCCCTTGTGATTATTTCAACAAAGCGAAATGCCACCTTAAAAACTCTGACCAGCAGGAAGAAGTGCTCTGTCTATTGAAGAGGTTCTACAAGCATATGCACCATCTACAGCATTTCTTACTCTGCACTCACAAACATTCTGATCAGTCTCAAATAACTGTTACTTGTGTCAAAACCAAGCATGTCATACCTCTTCTTTGAGGACGAATTGTTTAGCAGTTTTTGGAACGTCGTTGGATGTCTCAGCTGCCATTTTCAGGAATGTCAGGGTTTCCTCCTCCTGTGCAAAGTCCAGATTACTATGAAACAAAGTCAATATTTGCTTTCAGAGTAAAGTTAAAAGGTTCGTTTCTGCATTCTAAATTAACAAACAAAAGTTGCTGGAGAAAGTTAGGGACATGTGCTGGCAAGAGCAATTCACATTTTCAGCTCCAACTGATGGTTTCAGAGTCAAATAATTCAAAGGAGAAACGGAAGTTTGGGTCAAATGCCTGACTCACATGGTTGTAATAGTCCTGCCAGCTGCCAACTAACTTATGCTGGCTGAAGACAACCTCCTTAACTATTCAAAGCTCAGACACATGCAGAGACAAAATCGATCCATTTTAGTCAAATTGTTACATTCTGATCTGGGTGACGTGCTCTTTCAACATAGCATTACCACTACAGGACTACACACTCCACTGTGACAGGGGAAACAAATCTTATACCCAGAGCACTTCAGGGGTAAAAATTGTCTGCTACTGAGAAAGAATCCAAACCAGAACCTGCCTCCACCTTACACTCATCACAAATGAACACATAAATGACTCAATCCTTCCCCAAAAAACAAGGTTAAAAAGTCACACATGTGTTGCAAGTGTAGGTAGCCCGTGGAGTTAGCGTGACCAAGGCACGTCAGTCTCTCTTACTGGGAATGATGTGGCTAACACCATGCAAAAGGCAGCTGAATATATGCCCAAAGCAAGGCTCTACACTGGCAGCTCAATGCCTCAGCCTGCATCCCAACACTCCCTAGGAAGATAAGATGGTCCACTCACTCTCTCAATCCATTTCTAGCTGAACGGCACACCAGGCAGCAGAAGAATATGACGCATTAGAGATTCACTGCTAGTCCCCTGTATCACTGTGAAGCTACAGGACAGTTTCAGAACAGAAACTCTAATTCCAAGGAAGCTCATCCCCGATACTATGCTGTAATACTGCGGGCCTGAAAATCAGCATGAATGATAAGCAAAAAGACCGTGCAAAGAAGCAAACCTGTTTCAACAGCAGGAGACATGAGATAATCTTAAAGATCTCTATCACTCTTAGCATTGATGGTTGTAAACTTTCCATAAAGTCAACTGGAATCTTTCTGTTGACTTCAGCTAGGGTTTAATAAGGCTCTGTGGGGTCTCTAGCAAAGAACAGTACCGGAAGTGAGTGATCCCCTTCTTTGTCACACCCAATTTTAGCACTTTCATCTTTTACTTCATCTTTATCCTTTTATGACAACATCTACTGCACACCTGTGAAACATTTAAGAGCATGCAGCAATATCAGCTTTCTTACATATAAGATTTGCATTTAATTCCACAAAGTAGTTCAGAATAGGTAGAACAAATTATTTCTGGTTGTCAGCACAATTAAAACTAACATCCATTTCCTCGGTAAGTACACAGGGCAGGCTCTTTCTTAGGTCTTAAGAGAGTCTTGTCAGATGAAACAGGTCATAGTAGTCAACCATTCAAATTGTCTTTACGTAACATAAATCCTGAAAAGGAACCCTGACTATTTATTAAATCCAATTCTGTTGTTTCATAAACATGTTACATAACCCTTTCTTAAAGCTATGAAGTTCCATCTTAGAACTACGTAGATTTACTACCTACCTTATTACTATTGGATGAAAAACTGTTCTAGAACCTCACTTGCTTAACTTCCAAATTCTATCCCACCTTAGTTCAGTTAGCTGTTACCCATCTGCTCTTGAGCCAGCAATGTCTCAAACTCTCTTCACTTAGGATTTAAGAGCTTTAGCTGGACCATGGCCATGGTATCTTGCTGTGACTCTAAAATACAAAATCAAGCTTTCCACCAAACTTATGCAAAAGAAGCATGACCAAGCACAGCGGCTCCAAGACGTGCCTGGTCATCCAGAGGAAACAGTCAAAGGAGGCTCTGTGGGACACCCGAAGTATCCAGCTTTAAAAACATAAAAACCTCACATACCTAGCTACAACAAATTCATCTCCTATGTTTGGAAAGGATTATAGTCTTTTTCACTGACAATACAAATATACCAAGAGAGTACATAGTGAACCATATCCTTGTTTCCTTGTTGAACTTTTTTTTTTTTTTTTTTTTTTAATCAGGCTGAATAAATCTTCCTCTTTTAGTCCCCCCTCACAGGAAATCCCGTTCCACTGATCATAATAATCCTTCTGCATAAACTGGCATATCTTTCTCAAACTCAGCTTACCACAATTGTACCTTAAATCCCATGAGCAGCTTTAGTAATGGTCTGTGCAACAGTATTAAAACTTACCTACCTCAGTTATAAATGCATACTAGAACCTCATTTCATGGCAGCTTTTTTCAACACAGCTTGCTCTCTGCTGCAGTGGAGAGATTCAAGGGTGGCTTGTGACTTAAAATAAGAAATTACACAGCTTCAGTGTTTTGAATTATCACTAAAATCTGAACTAACTGAAAACAAGAGAGAGGAAGACTCATCCCTCTCAGCTTCTGTAGTTTTGATCTCCTCCACAAGTGGGTGCAGTAAATCTATATATGAGTCACATTTTTAAAATTTCCACACAAAAAGTAGCTTTTTCCAAATTCAGTTGACTTTAGAGAAGTGAGAATTTCTGCTATCAGAAAGCTGAAATACCATTTGGTTAAATGAAGGCTGCAATTCTGCTATCTCACATTAGTCACTCTGTCAAGGGTGACAACACCTTTTGTTCATAAACAAAATTAGCCGCAACTGAAAATTAAACTTAACACTACAACCGCAGGTTTCAAAAGCCCTGTGTTAGGTCCAGAATAGACCTCGTCTCACAGCTCTCAGACAGGAAGGTTCTCCTATCTTATAAAATTACCACTGCATCATTTGAGTTAAAAATGCAATGCAGCTCACACAGCAGCCTGGGAACCGGGCTGCTTGATTTACGATTGCATGAACTCTATGAACATAAATTTGTAATAGTTATCAGTGCAAATTTAAGAATATGTCAAAGTGTCCACATTTATCAGACTTCCTAGCACGAATTGACAGCACTTGAACTATAAATCACAGGGAAAAAAAAGTGTTTGGTCTGCTTCTACCTTCTCTGATGATTTCTGTGGCGAGTATTACTGGCTACTGCTGGCAAATCACGCTACTTGTTCCATTTATTTCATGTAGGGGTCAAACTCAGACCTGAAAAAGGTGTATGTACCATTTATCAAAGGTATAACTTTATTCCCATTGCTTCTTCCCTTACTGAGTGTCTTCTTTTCAAGGCAACGTCCAACCATTCTATTTTCCAAATTATCCTTCCCAGGAGTTAAAATCTTAAGCCAACTGTGGCTTGTGAATCAACTAGAGAGTAGCCAAGCTACTAGGGCTTGATATTAACCTATCCAAGCCACAATAGATGGGTTAGCTTTTCTAAATCACTCTTCAAAAGGTATTTTCTGATCCAAACTTACATATCCCAGCTGACAGCAACCAGATTTAATGGAAGCTCAGCAACGGTGTCCTAAGGCAAGCTCAAGATAAAACAAAATACAGGGCTTCTTACAAAGAATGTGCAAAAGGGACACTGTCACTGTTTTACACACACTTTAACCACCAGCACACTGACATACGTGTCCTGAAGATAAACATCTCTAAAAGCTCCTTAGTCACTTTAAACTTGTTACCATCAGTCAGTGCACTTGCATTTCTAGCAACAAAATCAATTAATTAGCAGAAGTTGATGGGAGAGAGGGAAAAACTGGGGAAAATTTCTCATTATTATCATGGTATTTAGCAGTGTGGATGACTCTCTCAGCACCAAACAAAATACAGAAAAATAATTGGTTCTCATCCTGTAGAGCAGACAACAACAACAAAGACTATCCTACATAAGCAGAAGACGGTTATTAGCATCTCCATATTGTTATCAACCTTCAAGACAATCGATGTGTGAGAGGACTTGGTGAGACAGCCACATGGCAGAGGGAGCATTTGAGGAAAGCATCGGGTGAAAATGCCTGGGCCCTCCATACAGGGGACACACAGGCACAGAGATGATGGCAGAACCATGGAGCTCAAAATCACATATTATTCAGTTATTACTTGACTCTCCCCCCAGTAAAACGAAATACAACCCTGCTTGAGGAGAGAGAGGAAGGTCTGTCGCTGTAGAGCTCCGTTATAATGCTGGAGAGATCACAGAATTACAGAATGGTTTGGGGTGGAAGAGACCTTAAAGATCATCCAGTTCCAACCCCCTGCCATGGGCAGGGACACCTCCCACTAGCCCAGGTTGCTCAAAGCCTCATCCAGCCTGGCCTTGAACCCCTTCAGGGATGGGGCATGCACAGCTTCTCTGGGCAGCCTGGGCCACTGCCTCACCACCCTCACAGGAAAAAAACTTCCTCCTAATATACAATTGAAATCTCAGCTCTTTCAGCTTAAAACTGTTACACCTTGTCCTATCCCTACACCCCCTCATCAAGAGCCCCTCCCCATCTCTCCTGTAGCCCCCTTTCAGCACTGGGAGCTGCTCTAAGGTCTCCCTGGAGCCTTCTCTTCTCCAGGCTGAACAACCCCAGCTCTCTCAGCCTGTCCTCATACAGGAGGTGCTCCAGCCCTCTGACCATCTTCGTGGC